CTGTTTCCCAGAGGATGTGACTCCAATCCCAACTGACAGCACCAGAAGGAAGGGTGGTAGAAGAGGTAGAAGATTGTAAGCTGGCTTGGAGATATTTCACTTCCGATCTTTCCGTCTTCAATTTTGGAAGGTTGATGTAGTTCTTATAGGTGTGTTGATGTAGTTCTTAGAGGTGTTAGCTTTGAAGAACTGGAACATTTTGTAGTATTTGGAATTGGCCTTGCTGACTATGCTTTACATTAAGATTTTTTTTTGTTTTTGTTTTTTGAGGGAATGATTTACATTAATTATGAGGGTATTCTTTCTAATTTGTTTTATAGTTTAGTTATGGTTGATGTCCAGTTTGATGTATTTATCCTAACAATTTTAAATAAATTGAGGATTTAAGTAGAAAAGAGTGTAATAATGGAGTTGACAATAAATAAAGACACATTGTAATACAGGTTGATGAAAACCCCTTCCAACATTACAAGAGCAACTATTCAAAGCAAATTAGTAAGAAAAACAAAAATGCAAGAACGAAATAAAAATGCTAGAACAAATGCATTCACCATTCTCATGACTTGGCAGAGAGACCAGCCTTGAGCTTTTGAATGGTGGCTACATCAGTCTTTAAAGAAATATCCAAGACATTGTCGTCAATCCCGGTGGTAAACAGAGTGTTGGGGAGTGATACAGTTCCTGCATTTGCACTTCCAAATGCAGAAATTGCTAGCGCTGGGTTTTGTGCATCAGCATTGTACTGGAAGTGCACAAGTCCCTTGGGGAACACAAACAGATCACCTGATTGAAGAGTCTGTGTAAAGAGGTTGTTTTTTGTGTCAATGAAACCCACTTCAAGGGTACCATCAACAAGGAAAAGGAGCTCAGCGGAACGAGGATGAGTGTGTGGTGGGTTAGTAGTGCCAGATGGGAATTCGAGAACGGCATAGGAAACACTCTGTCCATCAAGAGCAGGGAACTCAGCCAAGGTTGCCTTCAATACCTTGAAGGCTGTGGGAGGGCCGCCTCCAACAAGAACACGAAAGCCAGTTTATGCGAAGAAGTTTGCATCTACTGTTCCATTTGCAGGCAGTAGGAAATCAAAATAATGTCCGGGTCTCCGGCCATTGCCATTTGAACAATGGCAAATGAAGTGAACATTAGTGAGAAGAATTTGAGGCTGGAAGTTCTTGAGGCCATGGTTGGAAAAACTTGATTATCTGTGAAGTATGCTATGATATTGCACTATGGTTATAATGCTTGAGATGTTTGGGGGTCTTTAAGGGCACTATTTATGGACAAGGTAAATGGATTTTTTGTATTCTTGCTGCAGGCCTATCTGATGTAAATGCAGATGAAGATTACAATGTTTCTTCTTGTAGTTGTTCTACAGTTGTTTGTTTGTCATTTCCTGTGAAAATGTCATACCAAAAAAACATAAGAACATTTGCTCATATACATCGCCACAAAATACCAAAACCAAATTGGAATTTGATAACCACGGCTCGATCAAGTCATTTCTAAGAGATTTTACCTTGACATTAAAAACTAAAGAGCCATACAAACGTCTTGAAAGACAAACAAGTTAAGACCTTCGCCGAAACTTCTGAATTAAACATTTTATATTGCTAATTAGAAATATAGAATGAAGTAAAACAACACAACATAATCTGTCTTTGTAATATTTAAGTTCCATGACTATTATTAATTGCAGATTGGCAAGATTTCGTTAAGCTCCCTTGTGTCTTCCAACATGTTTCAAGTTCAGATCATCTCATCCTCCAGTTAAGGCCTTTTGGACTGCTCTGTAGTTTCTGATGGTGTTTAAGTTAAGTATGACTGGAAAAGTATAAGTTCTAGAGATGTCCAGGCTAGATTTAGAGTTTGTACTTGCAGAAGGATGTTAGCATCCAACTCAAAATCAATTGACGCCCAAGATTTCGTGTCACGTGTGTCGCCTAACACGTGGACACTTCTTATTGGGTGATATGATATGAGAACATGTGGGGCCATTGCACCCGCCTCATGGATAGCTTGCTTTGCTACCAAAGTAGAATATGAGCATCAAACCCAAATCCAGTTGGCAAGATCATTTAAACCATTAATGCGCAAGACTTCCATCTCTGGTGTGGGATACTCTCAACAATAGAGACGTATGCAGCCTTCGGCTTGTTCATCCTGGGACCTTTATCAAAATGATTTTTCATGAGACTGAGGAGCTGTAGGCATCATTGCATTACCATGCACAGGTGTAGACCATAAAAAAAAGTAGCAGCATAATCACAAGTTGATCACCACATGAAGGTTATGAGAATGCAGCTTCCTAATGATGTCAAGCCAATTTTGAGTTTCGTCCAACGAAAAAAAGCCAATTTTGAGTCAACCAGGGCTGGGATTTGATGCATTGTCAATGTTGAACTATTTGAAAAGTCAAAAGTAAAATCAACTCAAGCCTTGCTAATTAACTTCACCATAGTGTCCTAGAAAGTTTCTTAGATTGCATTATCCAAGTTTTATGTGTCAAAATCCAAATGACTATTTATAATTCAGAGTCGACATTCCAAAAGAAAGTGAGGTTTTTCTTCTCAAAATAAACCACCATTAGTGGAAGTGTGATTACATGGTTGACAATAAATGAATTGTGACAAAACAATATAAATATAATACACCTTCATGACATACCCTTTCAACACCGTAAGGGTAATTATTAAAACGGAGTTGAAAAACAAAATGAATGATAATAGAACAAAAGAATGAAGAACGAAGCATTAAGCTGATGGACTGGCTATTAACTCTATCCTCATGGCTTGGGAGCAAGACCAGCCTTGAGCTTTTGGATGGTGGTTACATCAGTCTTGAAGGATATGGCCAAGACATTGTCGTCAATACCGGTGGTGAACAAGGTGCTGGGAATGGATACAAGTCCAGCATTTGCACTTCCAAAGGCAGAAATTGCTAGAGCTGGCTTTTGTGAGAGTGGTGTTGTATACACATGCTTTATGTAAGAATTTGTCATAATAATCTGCTCCCTGCCCACATTTGTTCTGAAATTAACCACAACTAGAGAAAACTCTGATAATATATATAGTTGACAAGATGAATTGTGACAAACAATGTAAACAGGTTGTGGGATACCCTTTCAACACATTATGGATAATTATTAAAAACAAATAAGATAACAGAAATCTGAAGACATAAAACTACTGGTTATGATTTTTTCCTCATGGCTTGGGAGCAAGACCGGCCTTGAGCTTTTGAATGGTGGCTACATCAGTCTTGAAGGAGTTAGCCAAGACATTGTCGTCGATGCCGGTGGTGAAGAGAGTGTTGGGGAGTGATACAGTGCCTGCATTTGCACTTCCAAAGGCAGAAACTGCTAGAGCTGGGTTTTGTGCATGAGCATTGTACTGGAAGTGCACAAGTCCCTTGGGAAACACAAACAAATCACCTGCTTGAAGAGTTTGTGTAAAAAGGTTGTTTTTTGTGTCAATGAAACCGACTTCAAGGGTACCATCAATGAGGAAAAGGAGCTCAGCGGAACGAGGATGAGTGTGTGGTGGGTTAGTAGTGCCGGATGGGAATTCGAGGACGGCATATGAAACACTCTGCCCATCAAGAGCAGGGAACTCAGCCAAGGTTGCCTTCAATACCTTGAAGGCAGTTGGAGGATCGCTTCCAACAAGAACACGAAAGCCGGTGTAAGTGAAGAAGTTTGCATCTACTGTTCCATTTGCAGGCAGTAGGAAGTCAGAAATAATGTCCGGGTCTCCGGCCATTGCCATTTGAACAATGGCAAAGGAAGAAATTAGTAGTGAGAAGAATTTGAGGGTGGAAGTTCTTGATGCCATGATTGGAAGAAATGTGTGATTCGATATCACTGTAGTGTTAGGTAGTTGGATGAGATTTTAGGGCTTCGCCAACTGCGCTATTTATGGGGTGCAGATTGTATGAAACTCAAGGGAAAAACATTGGTGTTGGAATATATTATTGCTGCAGGCCTTTCTGATGTTAACTGGAGATGAAGATCGATTACAATGAAAACCTTGCTGTAGCTGCAGTTTTACAGTTGTTAATTTGTAGTTTTTCTCGGAAAAGATATATACCAAGAATATTACAACTTTTGCTTATGTTCTCCAACAGTTGGTATTAAAATGAAATATAATAAAGTATATTCATTGACCCTTTTTGGATGTTCATCCATTCTGTCGAGCCATATAGGCTGGATTCACAACATTCATTGCTGATGCTAATTAATTTTGGACACCAAAGGATATATTTCTGTTCTTGGCGACAATAAAAGGTACAATGTCAGCTCCAGCGTAACTTGAAATTTGTCTTATGGCCAGACTATAGAGCGGGAGCTTGTATAGATCAAAAATTAGCCGTTTCTTATTGTCATCTCGTTGTTCTTACAAAATGCAGAACAAAAATACATAATGGCACTCATATATTAGCAGCGGAACTACTGTTGAGTACGCCACACGGGTATCAAATTTTACAATGGGTCATGTGGATGTCACACACTGAGTAAAGATCTAGCACACTGCTAATTCATCCAACACCAATATCAAGCGTGTGATTTTATTACAAAAGACCTCGGTGATATCAGTAGTACTAACCAATCACCTTTTTTTGTGTGTCAATTTTCCCACCTGACATTTTTACATTCTTCACGACTTCATTGCTGGTGCTAGTCGTTTTATCCTTTTCTTATTGTCTCGTTGCCGAAAAAAGTTTGATACAAAAATGAATGCCAAACTCCAACTCCAACAGTAGTGTTAAATGTAAATTGCAGGGCAAGAAAAGCTGCATGACTTCCTTATTCTGCCTACTCCCAACTTAATTAACCATGGCCTGCCCCAATTCAGTAGAGAAGCCATTTCTCTCATGTTTTGTGAAGCTAACTTTGTTGCTGATGCTTGCCATTGACTGAATGGTTTGTCTTCATACTAACAGACTCTTGTTTGATGTCTGAACTGTCTCCAGATTATTTTTTGTAAAGAAACTACTAGTCAATGCTATAACATTATACAATTAATGTTTATCTACACCTTCCCAAAATGAGGGCTGAAATTATAAAAAAACCCAACACTCAAAATACTTTATAAACACACTCAAAACCCATCATTACACACACTCAAAATCCATTGATAAACACACCCAAAAAATATACAATTGTTGATTTTGGGGTTGACTTTGGGTGTGTTTCTATGTTTAAATAGTGTTTGGGTTTTTTTAAAATACATGTCTAAGATTGGGTTTATTTATAAATTTGTAATTTTTTTTTTTTTTTGGGAGATTCCCATACCCAATATAATTAAGCACCCAAACTTTTAAAAAATAAAAAACCCTATATCAAATGAACTCTAGAAACACACTCAAAGCCTATTTACAACATAACAAAGAGTCTTTTAACTTCTTATAAATTACAAAACTGCTATCAATTTCTTAAAACAAGCCCAACCCCAAAAACCCAAAACCTCAACCAAAAAAAAAAAAAAAAACCCAAAACACTCAATAGGGCATCAAAGTAATTTAATAATCAAAATTAAATTAAATAGGGCCAGCTGTCACTTTCTGGATTTTTTTTGGATTTGTTTATATAAATTAAATGGTGTAGGGTTTATCCATATCATTAATACTAAGAATGGGTATATGACTAAATATCTCTCCTTTTTTTTGTATAAGTAATAGTTTAAACTACAAGGGACACAAAAAACAACTAAGCTGCCATGGGATTCAAATTTGAGATCTCTGATCTGCAAGTCAAGACATTTTGCCACTAGGCTAGACCCGTTGGCCTCCCATTTTTCCTTTTTACATCAGAATGTAGTGCCAAATTCCAGATGATTATATAAATAAAAATTGAGACGTCCCACAATAGAAAAGAAAGTGAGGCTCTTTTGTACCCCAACTAACTACCATGATACAACCAAAGGAGAGTCTTATTATATATAGCTTGACAACAAATGAATTGAGACAAACAATGAAAAATGTAATAAAGGTTGATGGCATACGCTTCTTGACACATTAAGGGTAATTATTCAAACCATTTTTTTGTTTGACAAACAAAGGAAAAACCTGAAGAACAAACATATTAAATTACTTTTTAATGGATAGCAATTATATCCTCATGGCTTGGCAGCAAGACCAGCCTTGAGCTTTTGAATGGTGGCTACATCAGTCTTGAAGGAGATAGCCAAGACATTGTCGTCAATGCCGGTGGCGAACAAAGTGCTGGGGATTGACACTGTTCCTGCATTTGCACTTCCAAAGGCTGAAATTGCTAGAGCTGGGTTTTGTGAATCAGCATTGTACTGGAAGTGGGCAAGTCCCTTAGGAAACACAAACAGATCACCTGCTTGCAGAGTCTGGGTAAAGAGGTTGTTTTTCGTGTCAACAAAACCAACTTCAAGTGTACCACCAACAAGGAAAAGGAGCTCAGCAGAGCGAGGATGAGTGTGCGGTGGGTTAGTAGTGCCGGATGGGAATTGAAGGACGGCATAAGAAACACTTTGCCCATTAAGAGAAGGGAACTCAGCCAAGGTTGCCTTCAATACCTTGAAAGCTGTGGGAGGAGGGCCTCCTCCAACAAGAACACGAAAGCCAGTGTATGTGAAGAAGTTTCCATCTACTGTTCCATTTGGAGGAGCAATGAAGTCAGTAATAATGTCCGGGTCTCCAGCAGTCGCCATCTGAACAATGGCAATCGAACAGATTAGTAGTGAGAAGAATTTGAGGATGGAAGTTCTTGAGGCCATGGTTGGGAAGAAATGTGATTCGGTATCGCTATGGTGTTAGGTAGTTGGATGGGATTATAGGTCTTCACCAACTGCGCTATTTATGGGGTGCAGATTGTATGAAACCCAAGGGGAAAACATTGGTGTTGGAATATATTGTTGCTGCAGGCCTTTCTGATGTTAACTGGAGATGAAGATTACAATGATAACCTTGCTGTAGCTGCAGTTTTACAGTTGTTCATTTGTAGTTTTTCTTGGAAAAGATATATACCAAGAATATTACAACTTTTGCTTATGGTCTCCAACAGTTGGTATTAAAATGAAATATAATAAAGTATATTCTTTGACCCTTTTTGGATGTTCATCTATTCTGTCAAGCAATATAGGCTGGATTCACAACATTCATTGCTGACTATAATTAATTTTCGACAGCAAAGGATATATTCCTGCTCTTGGCAACAATAAAAGGTACAGGCCAAACTATAGAGCCGGAGCTTGTTTAGATTAAAATTAGCCTTTTCTTATTGTCTTCTCGTTGTTCTTACAAAATGCAGAACAAAAATAAATAATGGCCCTCATATATGGGCAGTGGAACCACTGCTTAGTGCGTCACACGTGTATCAAATTTTACAATGGGTCACGTGGATGTCGCATACTAAGTAAAGATCTAGCACACTGCTAATTCGTCAACACCAATATCAAGTGTGTGATTTTATCATAAAAGACATCGATGATATCAGCATTACTAGTGGAACCAGTCATTTTTTCTTTTTTCTTTTTGTCTAGTTTCCCAACCGACATTTTTACATTCTTCATGACTTCATTGCTGGTGCTAGTCGTTTTATCCTTTTCTCATTGTCTCGTTGCCGAAAAATATTTGCTACAAAAATGAATGCCAAACTCCAACTCCAATAGTAGTGTTGAGTGTAAATTGCAGGGCAAGAAAAACTGCATGACTTCCTAATTTCTCCTTGTGTGCAATAAAGACTTAACTACTCTCCCAACTTTGTTAACCATGGCCTGCCCGAATTCAGTAGAGAAGCCATTTCTCTCATGTTTTGTGAAGCCAACTCTGTTGCTGATGCTTGTCATTGGCTGAATGGTTTGCCTTCATACTAATAGACTCTTGTTTGATGTCTGAAACTCTGTCTCCAGATTATTTTTTGTAATGAAACTACTAGTCAGTGCTATAAAAAAAATTATGTGAGCAATTTAATTTCATTATTTACGTTATACAATTAATGTTTATCTACACCCTCCCACCCTTACCCATATTTTTTTAGTACAAGAGTGATAGTCTAAACTACAGAGGAGAAAGGTTTCTCACACACACACACACACAACCAAGATGCCATGGGGGTTCAAACTTGAGACCTCTGGTCTACAAGTCTAGACATTTTGCCACTAGGCTAGACCCCGTTGCCCCCCTCCCCAATTTTTCCTTTTTACATCAGAATGTAGTGCCAAATTCCAGATGATTGTATAAATAAAAATTAGACGTCCCACAATAGAAAAGAAAGTGTTTGTACCCCAATTAACTACCATCATACAATCAAAGGAAAGTCTTATTATATATAGCTTGACAACAAATGAATTGAGACAAACAATGAAAAATGTAATAAAGGTTGATGGCATACGCTTCTTGACACATTAAGGGTAATTATTCAAACCATTTTTTTGTTTGACAAACAAAGGAAAAACCTGAAGAACAAACATATTAAATTACTTTTTAATGGATAGCAATTATATCCTCATGGCTTGGCAGCAAGACCAGCCTTGAGCTTTTGAATGGTGGCTACATCAGTCTTGAAGGAGATAGCCAAGACATTGTCGTCAATGCCGGTGGCGAACAAAGTGCTGGGGATTGACACTGTTCCTGCATTTGCACTTCCAAAGGCTGAAATTGCTAGAGCTGGGTTTTGTGAATCAGCATTGTACTGGAAGTGGGCAAGTCCCTTAGGAAACACAAACAGATCACCTGCTTGCAGAGTCTGGGTAAAGAGGTTGTTTTTCGTGTCAACAAAACCAACTTCAAGTGTACCACCAACAAGGAAAAGGAGCTCAGCAGAGCGAGGATGAGTGTGCGGTGGGTTAGTAGTGCCGGATGGGAATTGAAGGACGGCATAAGAAACACTTTGCCCATTAAGAGAAGGGAACTCAGCCAAGGTTGCCTTCAATACCTTGAAAGCTGTGGGAGGAGGGCCTCCTCCAACAAGAACACGAAAGCCAGTGTATGTGAAGAAGTTTCCATCTACTGTTCCATTTGGAGGAGCAATGAAGTCAGTAATAATGTCTGGGTCTCCAGCGGCCGCCATCTGAACAATGGCAATCGAACAGATTAGTAGCGAGAAGAATTTAAGGGATGAAGTCCTTGAGGCCATGGTTGAGGACTTGATTACTTTTTCAGAAATGTGATATGAAACTATTGCTAGATATTGGGTATAGGTTGATGAGGTACATGGGCTTCGACAAGGACAGGATTTATAGAGTGGGGTTCAAGTCAAATCTAAGCAAAAGGCAAATGGGAAATGAATATATTCTTGCTGCAGGCCTATGATGTCAATTGGAGATGAAAACAATAATGCTCGCTTTCTTGTTGTAGTTCCAGTGTTACAGTTGTGTTTGTTATTTTTCTTTGTTACTTCTCCTGCGATATTAGATTCACTTTTATACATAAAATACATTAAACTTAGACAATTACACAGAGTTTTTACATTGCTGAGTTGCAGCCGTATATAGACTATCTGCATCCCTAAGTTCTAGTAATCAGAACATGGTACAGCTGCAAGGTGCATAAATATATAGTCCATGGAATCATAGACATATATAGATTACCCCTCTCTCACAAACTCAAAATGTCTTGGAGAGGATTTGAATTACTTTTTTTTTGGGGTAATGAGAGCATTTGGAGTTTGGATGGATAAGAAGAACAGAAATCGAGTTAAGTGATGTCTGAATTTAAAATAAATAAATAAATAAATTTGGATGATAATTTCATTGGAATCAACCCATATTTGAGAAAAATAAGCAAAACAATGAGAAATTGGATTGAAAGTTGTTTCTCACTTTTCAAACAAATTAAAGAACTGCCGCGAAAGAAACAGAATATTATATAGTTGAGCACTTAAGTACTGATAATTATACATTTTCTTTCATGGACAGTTGTACATGAGAACTCTACTCAGACTTTACCCATTCCATGTCCTTGAATCAAGGCTCTGGAATGAGCCATTTCTTGTTCATGCAAATTATAGTTTGACACACATATGCAAGAATAACTTATTCCAAAAAGAAAAATTTATGTACACGTCTCAATAATTGCATTTACGCAATATTGACTGCATACGATTATATGTCTGCTAACGAAGGTAAAAAAAGTGACACTATCCACTAGTTTTGGTTGCACAGTAGAAGTGGAGTGAAGTATAACTGACAATATTCTTGATGAAATTTCTCTTTTATTTTATTATTATTATTTTTTTTATAGTCTAATATTTCTAGGGACAAAATTCTCCTTGTAAAAACTATTTAACAACATTTTTACAAGTTTCCGAAGATCTTTCGCGGCAGTTTTTCACACTTCCATCGACGAAATATTTCATAGATACTTTGGTGACTAGCAGGGGATGTGGAGAATGTGAGAGTGGCATTGTATACGTGCGCTTGTTGTATTTAAGAATTTCAGGTAATAATCTTTCCTCCTCCTTTTTTCTTTTATACCAGAGTGTAAAATTACAAAAAGTTACCAAATGATTTTCTATATGAAAATTGTGTTCAACAAGCGTAAAGGAAAGTGAGGCTTTCTTCTCAAATTAACAACAAATATTAGAGGGAAGTGTGCTCATATAGTTGACAAAAAATGCAACACAAAACTTTCAACACCTTATGGTTATGGATGCTTATTCAAAGCAAATAAAAATAAAAATAAAAAGCACAAAGACATTAAACTACTGCTTATTAATTCTGTGATGTTGTGACTCTATCTTTATGGTTTGGGAGCAAGGCCAGCCTTCAGCTTTTGAATAGTGGCTACATCTGTCTTGAAGGAGATAGCCAAGACATTGTCGTCAATGCCGGTGGCGAACAAGGTGCTCGGGATTGATACTGTTCCTGCATTTGCACTTCCGAAGGCTGAAATTGCTAGAGCTGGGTTTTGTGAATCAGCGTTGTACTGGAAGTGGGCAAGTCCCTTAGGAAACACAAACAGATCACCTGCTTGCAGAGTCTGGGTAAAGAGGTTGTTTTTCGTGTCAACAAAACCGACTTCAAGGGTACCATCAACAAGGAAAAGGAGCTCAGCAGAGCGAGGATGAGTGTGCGGTGGGTTAGTAGTGCCGGATGGGAATTGAAGGACGGCATAAGAAACACTCTGCCCATTAAGAGCAGGGAACTCTGCCAAGGTTGCCTTCAACACCGTGAAAGCTGTGGGAGGAGAGCCTCCTCCAACAAGAACACGAAAGCCAGTGTACGTGAAGAAGTTTCCATCTACTGTTCCATTTGGAGGAGCAATGAAGTCAGTAATAATGTCTGGGTCTCCAGCGGCCGCCATCTGAACAATGGCAATCGAACAGATTAGTAGTGAGAAGAATTTGAGGCTAGAAGTCCTTGAGGCCATGGTTGGAAAAACTTGATGAATAAGTAGAATTGTGCTAGGTATTGCGATAAAATTGGTAGGTTATGAGATGTTTATGCTTCGACAAGGACAATATTTATAGGGTGAGGGTTATGTGAAATCTAAAGAAAACTTAAGGCAAGTTCGGATATATTAATGTATTCCTGCAGGCCTCGCAGCTGATGTGAACTGGAGATGAAGATTATTACTATGTAATGTTTCCTTGTTTTAGTTGCCGTTTTATAGCTGGTTATTTGTTATATTTCTTGAAAACGAAACCAAGAAATGTTACAACTTTTGCTTATCTTCATCAACTGATCAACATTAAATATTAAGATTTAATATTAGAATAGAAGTATATGCTTGGACCTTGTTCTTTTTTGGATGTTCATCCACTTTGACGGAAAATATGGCCTTTGTTCATTACATTTGATGTTGACTAGTTTCCAGCAAAAGATTATTATTAAATTTTTGTACTGATACAAGGCTAGCTAAAACTTATTGTGCGTAAAAATGAAACAAAAGGGCTTTTGGCCTTTTCTTATTGGCTTATTGCCATTGTTGTGAGAATGTGAAGGTAAAAAGTCTCACATTGGAAAGTTAGATAACCTTGCAAGGGCTTATAAGCAGTTGGGCTACTCCCCCCATTGCCAATTGGTTTTGGGAAGGAACCTCAACTTCCTTCATGGTATCACAGCTAGGTTGCCCACGTGTGAAAGCCCAACGGCCACACGTGCTCCACGTCACCTAAAATGTGTAATCCACGTGGAGGCGCTATGAAGTCGGTAAGAATGTCAGGGTCTCCCGCCATTGCCATTTGAACAATGGCAAATGAAGAAATTAGTAGTGAGAAAAATTTGAGGCTGGAAGTTCTTGAGGGCATGGTTAGAAAAACTTGATTAATTTGTTCAAATGTAATATGCTATTGCTAGCTGTGATATTGGGCGGTTGGATGAGGTTTGGTGGCTTATAAAGGACAATAATTATAGAGTGTGGACTGAGTCGTATCAAAAGAGAATGCAATCGGGTTCGAAGATACTATTGCTGCAGGGCCTGTCTGATGTCATCAATTGCAGATGAAGATTACAATGTCTTTCTTCTTGTAGTTGCATATGAAGTTCTACAGCTGTTAATTTGTTTGTTACTTCTCGTGAATAAAATACCAAGAAGGTTTTAACTTTTTCTCATCTTCATCGGCACTAGACATTAAAATGAATAGAATAGAAGTATATGATTAGACCTCCAACTTTGTTGGATCTTCGTCCATTCAGTTGAGCATATGGTCTGGTTTCACACCTCTCTCTGCTGTGTGCATTTTTTCAAGAAAGTAGGCCGGATACATCTTCGAGCGCATGTCCTAGTTCTTGACAACAATATGAAAGGTTAAGTTATGCCTGTTCCAGCTTAACATCAAATTGGTTTTATGCCAAAACTAAGGAGACAATCTCTGTCTTCATACACAAGGCTAGCTAAAGCTATAAGTTGTCCACAAAATGTAACTGAAGGGATAAGTGACAATTGCAAAGCAAGTGAAAGCATAGAACCAAAACATGAAGACAGAACAGATCAAAATAAAATACAACAAAACAACCAAACGGAAATATGATATATCTCCTCAATTAAAAGTTAAAAAACCAGGTTTATTAACTGCCCGGCATGATCTCCTAATCTCCCCTTGTGAGCCAGTAAGGACTTCAACTGCTCCCAACTTAACCATGGCCTGCCCGAATTTAGTGGCGAAGCTGTTAGTACTGTTATTCGCTAAGGCGGTCACTGTGGCCTGAGTTATGGGGTCCAAAGCTAGCTCTTGGTCAATTTGAAGAATTCCTCTACGGGCTATTATCTCCTTGTAGAACGAGTTATCGACAATAAACGAACTTTGAGGGTTCTGGTCCAAATTAGTAGCATTGGTGCCAGCTGAGTTTTGAGGGCAGATACGTCTCAGGCTTTCTAGTAACGCTACATTCATATCGGGGTCAGGTTTTCCAGTGTTCTGGAAATTGTAAAGACGATCTTGGAAGAGAAAACAATGTGCCACCCCAACAGTGTGACCACCTACATCATCAAGCAGTAGGGCAGAAATTTAAGAACAAGAATATTAAGAGAAAAAAAACAGATGAATATATTTTTTTAGTACCAACTTACCAAGAAGATGAACCATATCAGTCATATTGAGTCCTTTTCTAGCAAATGCTGCAACTGAATCAGGCACTGATATTGAGGGAGCTGGGAGGTCAACATTTGCTGCAAGGGATATCAAGCCATCCCTTCTCCCTGTTTGAACATTGTATCGCCCTCCTCCGCTCTGAAAGTACATAATCAAATTTCACCACCATGAACTAATCAGTATAAGCTTAATTATAATAATGAAGCTGATGTAGTCATGTTAGATTCCATATAAAATCATCAAACTCAAAATTTACACACAGAAAAAGATAGGGTTTGCTTACCAAATAAACAGCTTCTCTGGTAGCAATGGCAATGATATCAGCGCAAGAGACAACTCCCCGGCATACACTTTCCACGGCAGTCTTTGCGGTGTCAATGATATCAAAACCCCGTACGCTTAGATTTGGAGGAGCGGTTTTCTCGCTGGTGCTTCCATCTAATAGAATGGATGCATCACATCCCTTTTCGAGAAATATGAAAACATTAGCTCATGCAGTAGGAAATAAAAGAAAAAGATCATCCTGTTATTTGGACCACTTTACTAACCACGTTATTTTCCAATGCTAGAGAAGTGAATCCCACTCATACACGGATACTATACATATTATATACGTAATCAGTAAATGTGGTTCAAATAGAGTTTAAACCTTAGTTTTACTATAAAAAAAGGAAAGACTTACATTGACAAAGCAATCATGAAACTGCATGCGGATGAGGGCAGCAGCGATTGTCCGGTCCCTGAAAAATTTTGTCTTGACTACGCCGGCTACAATACCTTCAACATCGACAAACCGGCCGCATTTTCCCTGGTAGAATCCTACCTCCAGTGCACCGGAGCATTGGCCCGCGAAGGTCAAAAATACGAGCCCAATTGCTACTACTGCCACTGCAGCTGTGCTAGACATATTCATCTTGATCTTAACTTAATTTCAGAGACACTAATTGATGAACAATATATGCATGGAACAACAAAGCACATCTTTTCCATTTATAGGAAAGAAGGAAACTCTCGATGGGAAACATTGTTTGGTATTATTACAAGTGGTATGGTTTGCACATCTTCTTCTCCACTAACAAGCTGTTCTAAGTTGCCTCTCTAAACGTGCTGTCATGTAACAATATATATATATATATATATACATATATACATTGAACAATA